ATCAACCATGACATAACCATGCTATTTTCTACCTTCCACCTTTTGAATCTATAAGTAATTGATCTCTAGTAGCAGTGGGAAAACAATAATAAACCGAAAAATCAATTACTTTTGCACCAAGATCCGGGATCTTGATTACAATATTTTTTGTGTTAATAAAAAAATTTGTACAAAACTAAATTAATCCATTCAAGGATTAGAAAAACTTACATACGTGTGGAGGCTCCTTCAAATATCTCCGATTTGATTTCACTTTCGATTCAATAGAGAATCGCACGAACGTTGATCCACACAAAGGCAATCTGTTGAACCAAAAAGGGATTTACTAGATCCACTTAATGGCTTCAAGAATTAACTTTCAAAGAATCAAGAAGAGAAAAATTCTTCTCTTCAATCAATGAGAACGTGTGAGATAGAGTGAGGGTGGCTAGGGGTTTTTTAATTCAATCAACGAATAGTAATCCTCTAATTTGTTTTAATTAAGTTTTACTTATATAGTGTAACTTAATTAAAACCCTAATCCCATTGGGAATAGCCATGGATTCACACATTAATCCATCCTTGTAACCAAACACCCTTTTATGGTATTTTAATTTTATATAATTATTTTTATAATTAAAATCAATTAATATATATTAACATTTAATTAATAATAATTCATTTAAATATATGCGAACACATATTTAAATATAATCTCACTAATTTTAATTTTAATAGTAAAATTAAATGCAGGCAACAACCTCAGCAAATTTTATTGCATTGTGAGATTACCAAAAACCCTTTCACAAATTGATTCTTAAATTATCTTCTAAGTGTGTGACCCGTAGGCTTCTTATCATATCGACAGTGAGTAGTATCACGATTAACACCAATTAATAGTCTCACTATACGTAGACCAAGATTGGCCCTTAGCAATGCATCATGGCCACCTGATAGATTCAGATTTAGCGAAATAGCTACCTATCAACGATATGATTACCGTCCAATCAAATTCTTTAATCATGCATTATCGCATTGAGGCTAAGGTGCAGAAACAGTGTCAACCTCAGTTATTCTCGATATCTTTGTATTCAGTTACTAGAGCAATAACTGAAATAATAAATTGGATTGAGCAATAGCTTAATTCCATTGTGGCCACAGATTTGGTGTCATTGTCATTTAATCGATTGCGCAGTGAGATAACTTCTCATGTACTCAGGAGTGATGAATCCTTTGTTGATCCACCATAGTTTTGATACACTCCTCAATGTAGCCAATCACTACTGTATTGATAGCTTTGAATAGAATTATATTGGGCTAGTGTCAAACTACATCAATCGGTGCACAAGGCACTCTGGTGATCTCAAGTCTAAGGATCACATGCACCATCATTCGTTAGAGGATTATTTCATAGACAATAGGGTTACCATCCATATGGAATCCTCTGGTGAGTCTGTCCAGTGAACTTGCCTCTAATAAGCACCCATGCATTGTACCAAGTTGTCAGCAAACAACCTTGACAAGTGCGATGAGTCACTATCTTTCGACAAGGTCGTTCAACAGTATGATAGTCTTACCGTATTATTTGTGTCCTTGGTCAAAAAAATATTAGGGCTACAAACATTTCTAGAATGGCCACCATATGTGATCATTGGGTTCTCACTATCAAGGTTTAAAACACTTGATATCCTCGTCATGGTTCTACCATCCTAAAGACATATATCAATACACCCAATTATGACTTACACAACACAATAGAAAATGTTTTTTATTGATTAATAAACATTATTACAAAGAGTCAATTCTTCAATAATTGATTAGCTCTAGGGCACTTACTCTAACAATCTCCCACTTGCACTATAGCCAATCATTCATGTATTTAATATCGAATGACCTTAAGTGTTTTTCATGCTTTTACTACGACAAAGGCTTTGTCAGTGGATCGGCAAGATTGTCATCAGTATGCACTTTACTAATCTATACATCTTTCCTCTCAACCATTTCTTTAATGAGATGAAATCGTCTGAGTATGTGTCTGGACTTCTAGTGAGACTGTGGTTCCTTTGCTTGAACTATTGCTCCATTTTTGTCGCAATAGACATCTATTGGATCAACAATCATGGAGACCACACCAAGTTCGGCGATGAACTTCTTAATTCAAAATACCTCCTTGGCCGTATCGGATGATGCGATATACTCAGCCTCCATTGTAGAGTTTACTACAGTGCTTTGCTTGGAGCTCTTCCAACTCGTTGCACCTTCATTGAGACAAAATACAAACTCGGATTGTGAGCGATAATCATGTTTCTCTGTTTGGAAACTAGTATCACTGTATCTTGTTACAGTGAGCTCATCTCCCATTCCATAAACCAAGAACATATTCTTAGTTCTTTTCAAGTACTTAAAGATGTTCTTGACAACTATTGAGTGATGCTCACCTGGATCCGATTGATATCTACAAAGTGCTTAACGCACGTGAGACATCAATTCGAGTACATAACATGGCATACATGATGGATCCAATTGCTGACACATATGAGATTCTCTTCATTCGATCTCTTCACATGGTATCTATCTTAAGTCTATAAATGGATCTCTACAACTTGCATATCTTATCAGCTTGTCCATCAAGAACGAAACCATCAGGTTGTGTCATATACACATCCTCTTCAAGTTCTCCGTTCAAGAAAGTTGTTTTGACATCCATCTACCAAATTTCATAGTCATGATATGCAGGAATTGTAAGCATAATCTGGATAGACTTAATCACGACAACCAGCGAAAAGGTTTCTTCATAATCAATACCATGAATTTGTTTGAAACCTTTGGCAACCAGTCATATCTTATAAGTATGCACCTTACCATCCATGTCAATCTTCTTCTTGAAGACTCATTTACACCCTATGAGTTTTATCCCTTCAAGTGGACCCACCAAAGACCACACTTGGTTCTGGTACATGGAGTCCATCTCAGATTTCATGGCTTCAAGCCATTTAACAGAATCTGGATCCGGTATAGCGTCTCCGTAGGTTCTGGTTTCATTGTATGGGTAGATTAGTACGTCACCATGTTGAGTCACAAGATAACCATATCTCTCGAGCTCATGGTGTACTCTTCTAGACTTATGTAGCTCCTGTGTTACTTGAGGTGGTTCACTTTGATCCATAGAGTGTGGAGTAACCTCCTCACGATGTTCAACCACTTCCTATGGCGCATCCTCCCATCCATCGTCTAATGTATCTTGTGGCTCTAAAACTTCATCGAGTTCTAACTTTCTCCCACTAATACTTCTTAGAAAAATTCCTTTTCTAAGAAGACACCAGTACGGACGACAAAAAATTTACGCTCTCTTGGATGGTAGAAATAGTATCCTTTGGTCTCCTTAGGATAGTCCACAAATATACATTTGTAGTATTTTAGGCCAACTTGTTCGAAGTCAATTTCTTGACATAAGCTTCACAACCTGAAATCCTTAGATAAGACAAGTTTGGCTTTCGCCCACTCCATAGTTTATTTGGAGTCTTATCTACAGATTTTGACTGCACATGATTTAGTACATGAGTCACAGCCTCTAGGGCATAATCCCAAAATGATGCAGGTAGATCACTAAAACTCATCATGTACCTAAACATATCAAGTAAGATCATATTCCTCATTTCGGACACTCCATTGTGTTAGGGTGTATACAGAAGGGTGTGTTGTGATACTATCTCACATTCCTTTAGGTATCCAGAAAACCCTGAGCTCAAGTATTCACCTTCTCGATTCGACCGAAGAGCTTTAATATTTTTGCCCAACATATTATGTATTTCATTCTTGAATTCTTTGAATTTATCAAAAGCTTCAGATTTATGTCTCATAAGGTAGACATAACCATATCTACTAAAATCATTAGTAAATTGATAAAGTATGAATAGCCATCTCTAGCTTCAATTGTCAGTCATACATCACTATGGATAATGTCTAACAATTCAGTAACTGTAATATCCCACTTGAGGTATGTATTTAAGATTTGTTGTATTAGTTAAAAGTTTATTGTTTCAACTTTAATTGAGTTTGTATGTTGAGTTGGTTGAATTGTTGCCTTGAAATTGGTTGAGTTTTGGTGAAGTTGGAAATCCAATCTTCGCCGGGGCGAGGGAGGAGAGTGCACCCACGGGTAGGTTCTGCCCTATTTCGCCGAGGCGACGAAAAATGCTTCGCCGCGGCGACGAGCCTANTTCATTAACAAATGACGAATTTTTTATTATTAAATAAATTTGTTTGTGTTAATAACAATAGTACCCATTTAGTATCATTATTTAACAAAAATCTCCCTATTATTGTAGTAATGACATAAATCTCATTACTATTAAGTTTTTTTTTTTTTTAAATAACACCATATAATAAATTTTAACAATACACTAAAGGGGATTTACATTATTTTTAAAATCTTAAGATAAATTATATTAGTTGATCAAACTACAGGGGTCGAGATCACAAACCTTTTTGTTATTTCGTCCAAACTTAGAGGGTCAAGTGTTATTTTAACTCATTTTTTAATCTCCAAAACTTTATATTATAATCCCACCAACCATACACAAAATCAATGGCCTACTTGCTTTGTGAAGCAAAGTTATAACTTGGATGCTTCCTCTCTATTTCTTGTCACAAAAATTCCCAGAAAGTCCATGGAAAGAGTTCAAAGAAGACTCAATCAATCATTTCGTTTTTTTTTTTTTTTTTTTTGGTTATTTCTAATGGACTTCTTTGCTATCTCAGCAAAAGAGTCAACGAAAGAATATGGATATGCTGCTGCAATGTTCAGGTTCTTATAGTTACTATTATTTAATTTTTCCTTAGCAAAGGAATGTCACAGTTAGTTGTGGGGAGCAATTTCAGCTCATGAAGTTGAAAGTTGACCCTGTGTAGGCGGCAATGGATTAAACTAATACAGTATAGAAGCAGGGCCGCGGTTATATATATATATATATATATATATATATGTTAAATTGCCACTATTACCTCTGCTACATGTTGCCATGGCCACGTCTTTCTACAACTTACTAAGTTCATCTCTCTTGTTCTTCTTCCTTCTTTTTCTGTTTGTTCCTTCTGCTAATTCAGTTTCCTTTAAACTAACTCGATTTGACTCCGAAAACACCTACATTTTCTATGAAGGAGATGCCAAAGCTTCTGTTGGAGCAGTAGAATTTAATAGCTTGAGTTATCTATGTCGTGTGGGTCGAGCCGCCTATGCAGAGAATGTGCGGCTGTGGGACTCTCACTCTAATGAACTCTCTGATTTTACTTCACATTTCTCCTTCAGCATTGACACTAAAGGTAGCGAGTTTTATGGAGCTGGCTTTGCTTTTTACCTTGCACCTGTTGGCTTTCAAATTCCGCCGAATTCTGCAGGTGGGTTCTTAGGCCTATTTAACACCACAACTAGTGACTCATCTCACAACCAAATAGTATTAGTTGAGTTTGACTCTTTCGCTAATCCTGAGTGGGATCCTCCAGTTCCACACGTGGGGATCAACACCAACTCAATTTCCTCAGCAGTCTACACCCCGTGGAATGCTAGTATCCACAGTGATGATACTGCTGATGTACGGATTACTTACAATGCCACTACTAAGAACATGAGTGTGTCATGGACATACTGGAAGACCAATGGTTCACTCGAAAATTCGACTCTTTCATATCAAATTGATTTAATGAAGGTTCTGCCGGAGTGGGTTAGTGTTGGTTTTTCAGCTGCTACAGGTATGTATGTAGAGCGACATCAACTTTTCTCTTGGGAGTTCTATTCAAGTTTGGACACAGAGGAATCAAATGAAAAGAAATCGGAGATGATAAAATTGGAAGTGAGTATAGCAGTTTTAGTTGGTGTTCTGATAGCTGGAGCTGTTTTAACATTCTGCATTTGGTGGCGGCGGAAATATATTCAGAAGGAAGAAGAGGAAATTAATTTGGCGTCGATGAATGATGATCTCGAAAGAGGAGCAGGACCAAAAAGATTTTCTTATAAAGATCTGCGTTCAGCGACCAAGAACTTCTCTAAGGATAGAAAGTTGGGTGAAGGAGGGTTTGGTGCTGTTTATAAAGGCTACATAATTGATTTAGACATGCCAGTTGCTGTCAAGAAAATTTCAAGCGGTTCTAAACAGGGAAGAAAGGAGTACATAACTGAGGTGAAGATTATTAGCCGATTGAGGCATCGGAATTTGGTGCAACTCATCGGTTGGTGCCATGATAGAGGTGAGTTCTTGCTTGTGTATGAGTTCTTGACAAATGGGAGCTTGGACTCGCACCTTTTCGGAAAAAAGAGTCCTCTTACATGGGCTGTTCGGTACAAGATGGCTTTCGGATTGGCTTCTGTAGTACTCTATCTTCATGAAGAGTGGGAGCAATGCGTGGTGCACAGGGATATTAAATCAAGCAATGTAATGCTAGATTCTAGTTTTAATGTCAAGCTTGGTGATTTCGGACTAGCCAGGCTGATGGATCACGAGCTAGGTCCCCAAACTGCTACCGGTTTGGCTGGAACTTTAGGCTACATGGCTCCCGAATATATAAGCACTGGTAGATCTAGCAAGGAGTCTGATGTGTATAGCTTTGGAGTTGTTGCTTTAGAGATTGCTACTGGCAGAAAGGCTATTGATCCCCTTGAACAAAAATCTCAGACAACTTTGGTTCAGTGGATATGGGAACTTTACGGGGAGGGGGATTTTCTTTCGGCTGTTGATGAGAGACTGCATACTTTTGATGAGACGCAAGCTGAGTGTTTGATGATTGTTGGGCTATGGTGTGCCCACCCTGATAGCAGTTTGAGGCCTACAATCAGAAAAGCAATTCAAGTTCTTAATTTTGAAGCGCCGCTGCCAAATCTTCCTGAGAAAATGCCTGTTCCTGTGTACCAGATACCTACAACATCATTTGCTTCCACTGAACCATCCATCACTGTTTCAAGCCTTGATACGGGTCGTTGAGCAAGTGTGGCTTCCAAGTTTGTTATAATAATGATTCCAATACTAGTATGAATTCTCATCTTGGAGTCTTGTGTTTAGAGTTGAATATTGCTTCGTATGAAGCATAAATTGTCTGAGTGTAACTGATGCTGGAACTTTTCCATCAAATTTTAATAGTTTAAGCAAGCAATTAAATGCAACCCAATGCCTCCTGGTTATTTATTTGGTCTAAAATTAGTAGTTCTCACTTTAGCTGCCTAGATAGTTATTGGTTTGCGTTTCTATCAGAAATCGACTCTCATGATCCTGTAACCATCGGCCAACCAAAATATTTTTCATTAGTACACTATTTAAGTTTGAAAGGGATCGATGAACGTATTTGTTTAATTATTTTTCATCAGAAAACAAGAGAGATATACAGACATTGGTGTCAAGGGTAACCATATGAATACTTTTAACAGCTAAAATACAAAGCCAAGGCAAGAGATGATGTTACCTATGAACCGATATGGTATAGCCTTTAACGACTACAATACATAGCCAAAACGAAGAGAAGATGTTACCTATGAGAAATATAGTATTATTATTTATGCTATTTATTTTAAAGAACATCTTTTATATAAATAAAAAATATCTTTGTTAACTTTTAAATATAAAGAACAAAATTTTTATTCAAATCCAATAGATTCTTTAAATTTTAGAAGAGAGAATATGTTTTTTCAAGAAAGAAACTTAATAAGAGAGATAAATTATAAATAAAATACATAGAAACTTATAATTTATTATTTAAAATTAAGATAGAGAGAGAAATTTGACTCTCTAAATATGAAGAGTCAAACTCATTCTTTAATTTATATTTAAAGAATAAAAAATCTTTTGAACTCTTGTTTATATAGATGCCATGCTCTCAACAAGGGACGCAATTTGACAGAACTCACAAGTTTTTAATATGTTTTAAGGTAATCACGACGCATGGTTCTCATTGAGATTCATGATTGTAGTTGTCAGTTATTCTTTATATCAATGATGTCGCAATTTTGCTGGCCACAGATTTTCAAACGAATCCTTTCTGTATGTTTTTACCCATGTGTAATGAAACTTCGAGTCATAAATTGTAGCAAGTGGTGGAAGCTTGGACACCTTGCTTCAGAATCAAACCATTTTAGGCCCTACTCGATCTATTGCCATGGCCACCTTGACCTATGATTTACTCAATTTATATTTTCTCACTTTCTTTATTATTATTCTTCCCTCTGCTACTTCAGTTAACTTTCGAATGCCTCGTTTTGACCCCAATGTAAACAACATACTCTATCAAGGAGATGCAGTACCCTCCGTTGGAGCCGTTGAAATGAATAACAAATACACTTATTTCTGTCGTGTTGGTTGGGCAACATATGCTGAGAGGTGCCACTCTGGGACCCTGATACAGGAAAGCTTTCTGATTTCAGCACCCATTTCTCTTTCGTAATCGACACCCAGAATCGTTCTTCTTATGGCAATGGGCTTGCTTTTTTCCTAGCTCCTGCTGAATTTCAAATCCCTCCAAATTCTGCTGGTGGCTTTTTAGGCCTATTTAACACCACAACTGCTTACTCATCTTCTAACCAAATTGTTATGGTGGAGTTTGACAGTTTCTCCAACCCTGAATGGGATCCTTCTGATGTTAAGGACCATGTGGGGATCAATAACAACTCAATTTCTTCAGCTGTCTACGCACGTTGGAATGCTAGCTCTCATAGTGGAGATATTGCTGATACGTGGATTACATATAACGCTACTACTAAGAATTTGAGTGTGTCTTGGTCCTACCGAACGACNGACGCATGGTTCTCATTGAGATTCATGATTGTAGTTGTCAATTATTCTTTATATCAATGATGTCGCTATTTTGCTGGCGACAGATTTTCAAACGAATCCTTTCTTTATGTTTTTACCCATGTGTAATGAAACTTCGAGTTATAAATTGTAGCAAGTGGTGGAAGCTTGGACACCTTGCTTCAGAATCAAACCATTTTAGGCCCTAATCGATCTATTGCCATGGCCACCTTGACCTATGATTTACTCAATTTATATTTTCTCACTTTCTTTATTATTCTTCTTCCCTCTGCTACTTCAGTTAACTTTCGAATGCCTCGTTTTGACCCCAATGTAAATAACATACTCTATCAAGGAGATGCAGTACCCTCCGTTGGAGCCGTTGAAATAAATAACAAATACACTTATTTCTGTCGTGTTGGTTGGGCAACATATGCTGAGAGGTGCCACTCTGGGACCCTGATACAGGAAAGCTTTCTGATTTCAGCACCCTTTTCTCTTTCGTAATCGACACCCAGAATCGTTCTTCTTATGGCAATGGGCTTGCTTTTTTCCTAGCTCCTGCTGAATTTCAAATCCCTCCAAATTCTGCTGGTGGCTTTTTAGGCCTATTTAACACCACAACTGCTTACTCATCTTCTAACCAAATTGTTATGGTGGAGTTTGACAGTTTCTCCAACTGTGAATGGGATCCTGCTGATGTTAAGGACCATGTGGGGATCAATAACAACTCAATTTCTTCAGCTGTCTACGCACGTTGGAATGCTAGCTCTCATAGTGGAGATATTGCTGATACGTGGATTACATATAACGCTACTACTAAGAATTTGAGTGTGTCTTGGTCCTACCGAACGACCCCTAACTCTAAAGAGAATACTCATCTATTTTACATAATTGATCTTATGAAGGTTCTACCGAAGTGGGTTACTGTTGGCTTTTCAGCTGCTACAGGCGTAAATTTGGAGCGACACATACTTCAATCATGGGAATTCAATTCAACATTGGATAAAATGGATACAAGTAACGGAAAGAAGAAAAATAAGATCAAAATTATAGTTGGTGTCACAGTTTCAGTGAGTGTTCTGGTAGCAGGCGTGATAATCATAAGCCTGCTGGTATTGAAGAGGCGGAAGCTGCAGATAATAAGAAACGCCTCTACACAGACAACGAAGGTGATGACTTCAATTAATAATGACCTTGAAAGAAGGGCAGGACCTAGAAGGTTTTTTTTCAAAGATCTTGCTTCTGCAACTAATAACTTCGCGGAAGACAGAAAGTTAGGTGAAGGAGGATTCGGTGCTGTTTACAGGGGCTACTTAATTGATCTTGATATGGTTGTTGCTGTTAAAAAAATTTCAAAGGGGTCTAAACAAGGGAAAAAAGAGTACATAACTGAAGTGAAGACGATTAGCCAATTGAGACATCGAAATCTTGTTCAACTTATTGGTTGGTGCCATGATGATAAGGGTGAGTTTCTACTTGTTTATGAATTCATGCCGAATGGTAGCCTTGATTCTCACCTCTTTGGCAATAAGAGTCTTCTTACTTGGGCAATGAGGTACAAGATAACTCTTGGGTTGGCCTCTTCTTTGCTTTATCTTCATGAAGAGTGGGAGCAATGTGTGCTGCATCGAGATATTAAATCTAGCAATGTAATGTTGGATTCTAATTTTAATGTGAAGTTAGGTGATTTTGGGCTGGCACGCCTCATAGATCACGAGCTTGGTCCTCAGACAACTGGTTTAGCAGGAACTTTAGGCTATTTGGCTCCTGAGTGCTTTAATACTGGCAAAGCTAGCAAAGAGTCAGATGTATATAGTTTTGGTGTAGTTGTTCTGCAAATTGTTACCGGAAGAAAGCCGATTGTAAAAGAACAGGTTGAAATAGGGCTGGTAGAGCAGGTTTGGGATCTATATGGAAGAGGAGAACTTGTTTTGGGTGCTGATAAGAGGTTGAACATGGAATTTGACGAGAAACAAATAGAGTGTTTGATGATTGTTGGACTATGGTGTGCTCACCCTGATTACAATTTCAGGCCATCAATAAGGCAAGCAATTCAAGTTCTTAATTTTGAGATAGGGATTCCAAATCTTCCATCCAAGATGCCTGTTCCTATGTATCATGTACCTCTAGGTCCTACACCAGCATCAATGAGCTCTGGTGAACCTGCCATATTAACTAATTCAAGCTGCATTGAAGTGGGTCGTTAACCTCTAATTTTCATTTGTCTTCTTGTAATTTTTCTGAAAATATAATAATACAAGAGATGTAGGAAATTGGAACAATATAATTAGACGTGATATAATCTTATCATATATGCATATAACATATGGATAGATCAGTTTACCACATTCCTTGGCTACGAAATTTTCACTGACACAAAAAATCTCTCACTCGACGGCGGCAAGAGAATTTGTCTAAGAGTCTTCTACTAGTAATTATACAATTCAACTTGAAGACAGGGCGCTTTTAATCCGAGATTAAAGTATCAGTGAAGCCAAATTTAATTAGGTAGAATAGGTGATTCCTTAATTAAAAAATTTGTGCATGAACTAGCTTTGTTGCTTCCTTCTTTTTGACTTACATCAAGCTTTCTTGTTGCTCCATGACGTAATAAATCATCTCAGTTATTAAATGCTTCATGTATACGTAATGCTTGCTTAACTTGGGAATTTAATTTTATCGAAAATTACATCATAAAAAACTCTGAATTAATTCTGTTTTAACACTATTCCTGTGCTCGGTTTTTAGTTAAAATTATATTTTTCATGGCTGAATTTAAATTGTGATATCAGTAATGGTATTCTGATTTTATGCAACTTTAATACAAAGCCAAAAACATAAATGAGGCTATATATTATTAAGGAAAGTCTAAAGTTCGACAGATTAGATACAATTAATTAAAGAATTCATATTATTTATACATTAACCCAGTGCTTTAATTAATTACGATTAAACGTAATGATCCTTTAAATTACACTTCTTCACCTATAATTTCGGCTTTAAAACAAATTCCAAGTCAACTGATCATGTGATCCATCACTTGGAAGTTGGAATTTTATAATTTTCCTTTCATCGACATTGTGTTTGTCTCCAATGGTCTCACCCGCTGATACAGTCAAAGATCGAATCTGGTGAGAAAATAATTGCCCGTCTCATCGTAAAGTCTTTCTATATGTTTTCACTCTCTTTCAAATAAGCTTCTTCAACTTAGAAAATGTTAGGTCATAGAAAGTAGTTGAAACTTGAACATCAAGCTACAATTAAATTAATTCTAGCTTTGCAATACAATTTCTCTGCTTCGTGTCTTCAATTTCTCTTTCCCATGGCCGCCTTGACATATGGCAACCTTGATTTACCTTTCTTCATTTTCTTCATTGTTACAGTTCTTCCCTCTGCTAGTTCAGTTTACTTCAAGATGCCACGTTTTGATCCCAATGAACACAAAATCCTCTATCAGGGAGATGCAGCGCCTTCTGTTGGAGCTATTGAAATGAATAACAGGTACACTTATATATGTCGTGTTGGTTGGGCCATTTATGCAGAGAGGGTACCGCTCTGGGATTCTCATACTGGAAAGCTTTCTGATTTCACCACCCAATTCTCCTTCTCAATCGACACTTTGGGCCGTACCCCTTACGGCCACGGGCTTGCATTTTTCCTAGCTCCAGTTGGCTTTCAAATCCCTCCGAATTCGGTGTGTGGCTATTTAGGCCTATTTAATGCCACAACTGCTTACTCCTCTGCCAATCAAATTGTTATGGTGGAGTTTGACTCTTTTCCCGATCCTGAATGGGATCCTCCTGACGTTCAAGACCATGTGGGGATCAACAATAACTCGATTGCTTCGGCCGTCTACACCCGCTGGAACGCTAGCTTTCATAGTGGAGATACTGCGGATGCGCGCATTTCATACAATGCTACAACGAAGAATTTGAGTGTGTCTTGGACTTACAGACGGACCGCAAATTCTAATGAGAATACTAGTTTATTCTACATAATTGACCTAATGCAAGTTTTACCTGAGTGGGTCACTATTGGGTTTTCAGCTGCTTCTGGTGAAAATGGACAACGATTCATTCTTCAATCGTGGGAGTTCAACTCAAATTTGGATGTAAAGGAGACGAAAAAAACTATTGCAAGCAAGAAAAGAACAATAGTTGTTGCCACGATTTCATTGTTTGTCGTTGTAGTTGGACTGATAACAGGACTAATCATATTATTGAAGAGGCGAAAGTTGATGAGAGGAAATTCTAGAGAGACAAGGAACTTGACTTCGATTAACGATGACTTTGAAAGAGATGCAGGACCAAGAAGATTTTCTTATAGAGATCTTGCTTCTGCAACAAACAACTTCTCGGATAATAGAAAGTTGGGTGAAGGAGGGTCTGGTGCTGTTTACAGAGGTTACCTAATTGATATAGACATGGTTGTTGCGGTGAAAAGAATTTCCAGGGGCTCCAAACAGGGGAGAAATGAGTACATTACGGAGGTGAAGGTCATTAGCCAATTAAGACATCGCAATCTGGTGAATCTTATCGGCTGGTGCCATGATAGGGGTGAATTTTTACTCGTCTACGAGTTTATGTCAAATGGAAGCCTTGATTCTCACCTGTTTGGCAAGAAACGACTTCTCGTTTGGGCTTTGAGATACAAGATATCTCTCGGTTTGGCATCTGCTTTGCTTTATCTTCATGAAGAGTGGGAGCAATGTGTCATCCACCGAGATATCAAGTCGAGCAACATAATGTTGGACACAAATTTCAATGTCAAACTAGGTGATTTCGGATTGGCGAGGCTCCTGGACCATGATCTGGGTCCTCATACAACTGGATTGGCAGGAACTTTCGGGTACATGGCTCCCGAATATATTAGCACTGGCAGGGCTAGTAAGGAGTCAGATGTATTCAGTTTTGGCGTAGTTATGTTAGAAATTGCTTCAGGAAAGAAATCTGTTGATTCCATTAAAGAAAAATCTGAAATGGGATTGATGGAGTGGATTTGGGATCTGTATGGAAGAGGGAAACTTGTTTTAGGAGCGGATGAGAGAATGTATATGGATTTTGATGAAAGAGAAATTGAGTGTTTGATGACTGTTGGATTATGGTGTGCTCACCCTGATTGCAATATGAGACCCTCGATAAGGCAAGCGTTTCAGGTTCTAAATTTTGAAGCGCCATTACCAAACCTTCCTGCAAAAATGCCCATTCCTGAATATCGTGTGTCTACAGCAAATGCTAGTTCCAGTGAACCCTCCATCTCTACTTCAAGCCTTTATGTGGGTCGTTAAGTCGTAGATTCATTATTATGTACTGTAAATACGGCGTTGATGGAATTTGTTTTTAAAATTTTAATAATATTTTGTTATAAAAGTGATTGTGATAGCACCAAAAAAAAATTGATCGTACCCTAATTATTGTATGTTAAGTTGCAGTTCAGCATTATCTTCATTTTCCTAGTCATTGGATGGTCATCTTTTGCTTAATTTATACATTTGTATGTTTAAATAACCCCAAAATAAAAACAAGGGTTAAAATAAATTAAGAATCAACTGAATACAAATTCAAAATCACCAATTATGTAATTTATAAGAATGAACAGAGTTACAAAGGAAATATAGGTGTGAGGGCCGGGGCGGTAGCTGGATAATACTATAGTGATTCTGAAAGGAGATTGGCCTGTTGGGCGCTGTGGATGGGTAATGTATTTGGGTTAGAACTCTGAAAAAGACCGTCAATGTCCATCTAACCTTTTTAACTTTAGTCCATATGTGTTTCGTTGCTCGCTAGTCACACGCCGTAGCCCAACACCATATTCGTCTAATATCAAAATCATTTTTTTTGTTCTCTTTAAAATTATAAAAATAAAGAATTAGTTATTTAATCCCCATAAGGCGGTGTTTGTTTAGTCAAACTAACTTATAAGCTCTAAAATTAAATGACTTATTTGTTTTTAACTTTTTTTGCTTAAAGACAAAAAAAAAAAAAAAAAAAAAAAAAAAAATTGTTGGGGGGAAGTTACCTTTTTTGTTTATAAACTAGTTTGATCAAGTATATTAATACATTATTCCTATTAAATTTTAAAATTTCATAATGTAGCCCTCAAATAGGTTATGTTACTATAGTACTATTTTTAGTTATTTTAATAATAAAATATACTTATAAGTTACATTTTACCAATTGCGTCAATTACTTATCAATCACTCATAAGTATTTTAACCAAGCACGTAACTGTTTAAATTTCAAATACTTTTAAGCTCAAATTAGCTTATAAGTATTAGCTGTTTATAAGCTAATTTTCATAAGCTCAGATAAACACCCCCTAAACTAGTAAACCTCTTTCTAAACCCCTAAGGGGACGTTTGGCTCAGGGAATATTGAATTACTAGGAATGTTGGATTACTGGAATCTTATATTACCTTGAAGATTATTGGGAATATTTAGGAAAATGTGTTTGGTTAGTTGGTGGATATGTTATTTAAATTACCAAATTGCCCTCTTTTTAAATATTAATTTTATTGTTAATTTTTTAATAATTTTTTTAACCCCCAATATTTCAAATTTAGCTAAAACACCCCCGCTTATATATAAATTTTATTTATGACAAAATAACCCCCACCCCCTGCTGCCGCTTGTCGCCACCGCAAACCACCGTCAGAAGTCTCTGAAAGTCGCCATGAGTAGCTCACCGTGACCACGAGGCTCCGATATGGCCGTTTCTGGTCATATTGATGGCCGAAAACGGCCATATTAGGCCAGATCTGGTCGAAAATGGCCAGATCTATTCTGACCAATTCTAGCCAGATCTGCTCTCGATATGGCCTTTTCAACCATCAATATGGTCAGAAATGGCCATATCGGGGCCTCCCGGTCACGGTGGCTAGTCACGGTGACTGCAAGTGACTTTTGGCGACTTCCTGCGATGGTCAATGGTGGTTTGGCTGGCGGCAAGCGGCAGCAAGTGGGTGGGAGTGGTGGCTTGGGTGAGCTGAAATTTGTTTTGATTTCAAGGGTAATTTTGTCCAAAAAATTAATTAAATGGGGTGAAATGGTAAAAGCAAGATTCATGCAAATAAATTTAAAAATAAGGGCATTATTGTCTTAAAATTTTATTAATAAAGGATAGAATTGTACAAAAAAAAAAAAAAAAGACTACCCAAGTAATCATACAATACTTAAGAAAATGGAGGTAATCAGAGTACCTCCAATATAACAACAGTAGCCGCTATTGGTATTTGAAGATTACCGTAATTTTATATTACTTGACAAACCAAACATGGTAATCAAGTAATAAGAGATGACTTAACTCCAGTAATTCCACATAACCCCCAACCAAACACCCCCTAATTCGATAAAAGTATACACCTACTCATATTACAAAAATAGCCTTTTATCTTCTTCCCTTTTTATAAACTTCAAGTTCTAAGGAAAGCCATTGTCAAATCCTGGCGATTCGAAATAGAAGGTTCAACATCATCGTTGGCCAGATGCTAACCCAATCTTGGTAGAACTTGCTCTCATCATGAATTATAGACAATTGAATCAGACCAACAATTTGCTTTCAACTTGATTACACTTCTCTGGTGGACTGAAAAATTGAGATAGTGTGATTGCGGTTGAGCGGCTTGTGCCATGGATGCTGAGCTGATTTGCAGAAAAAAGGTCAGTCCATTGTTTAAATACGATTGAAGGCAAATACAATTTGGTTTTGTTGGAAAAAACATAATAACAAATATTCTAAACTAATCCCAAGATCATGTTAATAGTCACCCATTGCAATCACATTTTACATAAACGAATTACAATGAAGTTCACAGCACAAATACCTATTCTTCTTAACTCTAAAGCAAAAATTGAATCTGGAGAGAAAACTACCGTAGTGTATTTTTCTTTAACAATTTTCACAGAGAGAGGGTGAATAATTATTCTCTAAAAGAAAAACTTCACTTATATATATGGGCGGCAGTTACCAAGCAGGTTTTTAGGCGAAAACTGCCTTCGGTAGTTTCCACTTGAAACGTCATTTGGGTTAATCCATCATGAGTACTCACCCTTATCCAATATCTCCCACTCACACATGATAAGACTATTTCTCTCTGTGCTTCTTTAAGGTTCATACTTTAGTAAATATGTCATGTGACCATGCATACTTTGAGAGCACATTAGTCATATATCTGTTAGGAGTATATAACTTCTAGAATTGTGAAACTTAGGTTGTATGTTGTATGCAATACCCTAGATTACTTATCACATTTTTTCTAACAATCTCATTTATAATAAATATCAGTTGTATTCATAATTATGTTCTGTCTTTACATAAAAGTAAAGCATAATTGGTCGACCAATGAATACACATGATTATAGTGTGATAATTCAAATACGTAATCTTTCTCTTTTCTCGATTCTTGCAACTTTCATTTAACTTGCTTTTTTAGAAATGTCCCGGCAGATTGAATTTATCTTAATCTTTTGGTAACACTCTAAGATAGCAATCATTAAATGAGGTTTTTAAGAAACAGAATAAAGTAATAATGGTATTCCATGAGATTTTATTCTTAAAATCTCAGGGTCACACACAATGTTAAAGTTGAGATTTTGACTTTCATTACCCTTTTGGTCAATGTTTTGCACATTTGGTATGAATCACATGCTACAGCATTTCCTCCTTTCCCATGGAGTGCATGTCTCTTTTCTTGTAAATTCCATACAGATTTTAGTTCAGACATACCTAATGTCTAACTTGAGTTCACTTTACATACTTTTAATTCATTAGAACTCTAATTTGGCAATTAGATAGATAAAGTGATCATTTATCACTTATGGTCACATTTCATTATGACATTATTTTAATTCTATTTTTAGGCGACATTAAACATTTTAACCTTGGCTCTCTATTATCACCTAGATAATAAGCTTAAAATTGTCTCATCTCCATTCCTACGAAGTAATGAAGGCGATTGCCTGTGTGAGAAGGCCAATCTTTTAACTGTCCGACATGCTTTTCAAAATAAACATATATAATATTTACATAACTAATATGTATATATATATATATATATATATATACTCCTTCATGTATGTTCCATAATAATCGAAATTGAGCATTGACAATATTGTTATTTAATATTGATAAGACAAACGTGAACAATTTTGGGAAATCTCAAAGTATGAGTATATTCAACACCTACGTAAGCCTAGAGATCTAACATGTCTATTGAAAGTATCTCTTGGTATAGGCTTTGTAAATGGATCTGCAACCATGTCATGCGTAGATATGTACTTCATGTTCACCTCCTTTTGTGCCACCAAGTCTCGCACAAAATTATATTTGATATCTATGTGTTTCATTTTACCATGATATTTAGGATCCTTAGTGTATGCTATTGCTGCTTGACTATCACAGTTTACTCTTACTGGTTCAATAGCAACATTAATTATTCCCAGATGATTCATGAACTGTCTCAACCAAACGGCTTCTTGCACTGCAGCTGAAAATGCTACAAACTCAGCCTCCATTGTAGATAAGGCTATGCATGATTGTTTTTTACTGCTCCAAGATATGGCCCCGCCATTTAGTAAGAAAACATATCCGGAAGTAGATTTCCTCTCATCTAAATCTCCTCCCCAATCAGCATCGGTGTAGCCTCTCAAGTGTAAATCATTTCCTTGATAACATAATGAGTAATCAGCTGTCCCTTTTAGATATCTTAAGATTCTCTTCACTGCTTTCCAATGTGCTTGTCCTGGGTCGGACTGGTATCTACTTACCAACCCAACGGCATAACAGATGTCGGCTCTAGTGCACATCATGGCGTACATGAGACTTCCAACAACACTTGTATAAGGAACATTCTTCATTTGTTCCTTTTCTTGTGGAGTCTTCGGACACATTTTACGACTTAAAGTCTCGCCTTTCGCGATAGGGTTGTCTATGGGTTTACAATCTTGCATATGAAATCGTTCAAGAATTTTCTTAATGTATGGTTCTTGTGAAAGAGATACTAATTTTCTTGAGCGATCTCTTGAAATCTTGACTCCAAGAATATATGCAGCTTCACCCATATCTTTCATCTCAAAATGAGATGATAACCATCCTTTGATTTCATTGACAAATCCCTTATCATTTCCAGCTATAAGTATATCATCAACATATAATGATAATATAACAAATTTGTTATTGGATCTCTTTGTATATACACAATGATCTTCATTTATCATTTTGAAATCATACGACATTATCGCATTATGAAATCGAATATACCACTGTCTTGAGGACTGCTTGAGGCCATAAATTGACTTTAAAAGTCTACACACTTTGTGTTCTTGACCTTCTCTAATAAAACCTATTGGTTGATCCAT